CCAACAGTAAGAGGACTCTCTGGACCATAACCCTCGACTTCAGCAACGATTTTTCCTTTCTCAAGAGGAGAAAGTTCCTTGTCCGCAGCATGTTTGTTGTCTGATTTCTAAGGTTCAACAACATAGTTGGTAACCTCACGTTCAACAGAATCAGCATCAGAATCCGGAGACGACTCTCCTCCAGATTTCGTGTGAGAAGGAGTACTAGCAGCAGGTTGAGGCACATGAACGACCTTTTTCGCCTTTTTGGTTTTAGGTGCAGCAGTTTCGGTGACCTTCTTGCGGTTCTTTGGAGATTTGACGACAGAGGGAAAACCTTTTCCTCCTTTGTCACTAGGTTCGGCAATTTCAGGTTGAGAAACTTTTGTCGTTGAGGATTTTTTAGGGCTTGGACAAAACTCTAGTTGTGGATTTAACGGGAGGTTGAATGTCCTCGGTTGCCATGGTTGAAGGAGTTGGATCTGGTGGAGTATCAGAACTTTGGCTTTGACGAGTTGAACGCCGAGATGGCGGAGGAACATTCTTCTTCGGCTTCACGGTGCCCTGCTTGGATTTAGGCATTGTCGAGAGGTATAGATTCTCTTGAAGAAGGAATGTTAGAGAGTTCTAGAAGAATAAACAAATCAGAGATTATGATTGATATGAGAGAGAAGCAAAGGTGATAAGGATGACATAGGAAACATAAATCACAGTTACCAAGTCAGTTACAAGACGGTTCGGCTCGTAGAATTTGAAATTTGAAAAAAATTTGACCAACACGGCAAAGGACATTAAAAACCGTTTCCTCCAAAAAGATCACTTACCAATCTAATTAATACAGTTACCATCTATAACGCATGAAGTTTCAGATACGAATATCGGCCAAATCATGTACCAAAAATAATTTTAGGCGCAAGATCGAAATAATATATGTCATGAGAATGACTGGATGCACATGCCTAAATAAGATACTTAACCCTAGAATTTTCTTTTCACGCAATATTGAAAAGATCCATTAATTGATTGACCCACACAAATATTTCCAAATCAATTTGAGACGAGCTCGACACTAACAAGATGATGAGAAAAATAAATTCTCTTCGTGCACAACTCAGCCCTTATTGCTCCCACTTTTATACAACACGGAATTAATATAAGTTCGTTCATCACTTTCTCTTAGCAAAAACCGAAATTTTCGTTCGCAATTCAGCCCCAATACTTATGATGAACTGTAATACCCAGTTTGATTATGGATTATTCGAGATTAATTATTTTGCATTATTGTTATTAGTATTTATATTTATGACTACTTGCCTAATTCAATATTGAGGTTATTATTATTATTATTATTATTATTATTATTATTATTATTATTATTATTATTATTATTATTATTATTATTATTATTATTTTATTATTATTTGTGCTAAATGCCTAAATGTTATTAAATGTCTAAATGCATATTATTATTATTACATAAATGTGATTTGTATGTATTATATATGATTATTATATATTATTATATATTATATATATATTTATTTATTTATGTTTCGGTTTTATTTTAATTTACCTACGATTGAACCGAGCCGACATATCGTAAGTATCGAACCAAGGAAATCCGCCCCGTGAGTCGTGAACCTTAACCGACAACACCATAAGCAGACCTCTCTCTCTCTCTCTCTCTCTCTCTCTCTCTCTCTCTCTCTCTCTTTTATTTTTTGAATTGTCTCTAATTAAGGAATATTAATTAACCCATTATTTTTGTATAATGATAATGAATTAACATTACTCAAATCCTTTCAACCGTTACAAATGTTTACCATATATCTTCCTCAAGCTATCATGTATCTGCCAATTCTCTCTTGTCGATAACATCGAAGAAACAAGAAATCCTCCATCTTTTGTCCCTTGTTCGAACAAGCAACAGAAAGAGAGCTTTCCCTTTTGTTTTTCCGACCAAGTCCTGCACCATCATCATCACTCATCCGATCATCACCATCGACATGATCCTGAAATTCCGGTGAGACCTCCAGCCTTTGCTCTTGAGTTTCCAGCCGTCGGGTTCCGTCGAGTTCCATCGGAGTGCCAAACGTAGCCGTCGAGTTCCGTCGGAGCGCACGTACGGTTCGTCCGCCCCATTCGTCCGACCCGCTTTCTGATAGCTCGTAGATTCCCGAAGACGGGTAATATTTCGAACCTCCTCGTTATTTTGTCCATGTTAGTGTATATTCACTGATTATATCATGTTCGTCGAATCGATTTCTCGTTGATGGTTTGGGTTATTCGTTTCGTATATTGCGGGTTGTTCGTGAATCTATCGTGGAAATGATTTGGAACTCTCATTTTTGAAAATCACGTATGCTGCTGTGTGTTATCAGAATCTCAGTTTATCGTTTCAAACCTTCATCTTGTTGTTTGGAACGTTCAAATCCCTGTCGTTTATTTCGTATTATTTCTGTCGTTTCGTTTTTATTTTTTTAACCAAAACCCAGTTTCCTCTATTTCGAAACTCCAAAAAGGTTCTATTTTCGAAAAATTAATTTATTACTTGAACCCCGGTTGCCGTTGGATTCATCGTCTTCAAGTTTGGGTCGAGTTTTGGTCAAGCCGATTGTATTTCGCGAGCCTCTGTTTTTTTCCAGATTATGTTGGCATTCCGACTCTGTTCTCTGTTCAGATTTTCTTTAAGTCGCAGGCTTTTGTTCTAGGTTAATAATTTAAGATTTCATTCTAAGTTGCAACCAAGCCATGTAGTGCAGTGGTGTGCTACACTCCTTCCTAATTTTGAGGTCATAGGATCGAACCCATCTCTTGTGTGTTGTGGTTATATTTTTTTTTTAGTAAACAGCTTCAGCGCGCGGGCCTTCAAGCCCGCAGTCGGCCCGCGTCCCAGCCCGACCTCTCCCTCTCTCTTTAGCCCGCGAGCCCAATTTCAGCCCGCGTCTGACCCACCAACAGTCCGCGGATCTGCAGCCTTTGAGCGGCCCAATTCGCGCGTGATAGGCCCAAATGCTTTGGCATTTTTGGGCCAGTTTCAGAATAGCAGTCCAGTTCAGCTTTTTGAGCCCTTTTGTGTTCCAGAAGCCCGTATTTCATACCGTTTTAAATTTTAAAAATATTTGTGAAATGAGAAAAATATTGGAAAAAAATTATTTTTAGTCCCAAAATTCTAATTTAGTTCTCAGAGTCATATTTTGCAAAAATGAGAGAGTTCCAAGTCCACGAAAAATTCGATTAAAACACTTAAGTCTTCATTTTTATTAAGTATGGGTTTTATGATAAATTCGTACAGTGAGATAGTTTATTGATAAATTATCTCGCTTAAATGTAGGTGTTTGAGGAGTCGAGCCTCAACCTACGTACCAGCTTTGTGTGTGATTTTCTACTGCAATTTCCAGGTGGGTAGTAATTGTAAAATTTGTTATGCCTTAATTAATTGCTTTTATTGTGGTATGATCAAAGTATGCGTGTGAACCATGTAGCCTTCGATGTGAGCTATATTGGCCATCGAACGGTTATCCCCGTAGCTATAGAACGTACCTTCGGGTAGTCTCCTTTATTATTGTTGGCAGTCAGGGCGTGATCCTTGGCTGGTGATCCTCGTATGTAAGGCCAAGGTGTGAGTTTTGGCATTCGGGGTGGATTATTGCTCTTTATGGTCGGGCACTCGTTGTAAGGCCTTCCAGGAAGGCGTTCGGTATATAGCTCAACAGTAGTCTATTGCTATAGGTGTGCACATGAGACCATTATTGATTATTGATAGGAGATGGGAAAATTATTGATTCGTATACATGTTGCGACCATACCTTTATTGTTATTGATTATTGATATTAATTATTGCATAGCGGTGAGCACCTCGATTTTCCTATTGTGCTCATTCCCACCTACTCTTCATGGATGCAGGTTAGTTAAGCGGGCACGGCGGAAGGGATGCGAGTGGTGGTTTTAAAATTTGATTAAATGCTTTCGCCTTAAAAACTGAATTTGAATATTATTGCATTATTGATTATTGTTTTCCACTAGTACTGGATTATTGAATGAGTGATATGGATTATTTTCCCTAGGATTATTATTGGATATGGATTATGAGTATTGATTATTGCTGAGTATTGAGGATGTGTTTAGTATTGATTATTGTTTTGAAAATGAGTAGCGCCTCAAATATTGTTTTTGAAATAAATTTAAAAAATATATTTTGCTTTTCGGGAAATAAAAGTGGGGCGTTATAGTATGGTATCAGAGCCAGTCTGCGTTTCTGTAGACTGGTTAGTGTGAATTATGTGATTATATGTTTTGACCTTAAGTTATGACCACTCGCTCTCGTCGTGTCGCGCCAGCTCAGGTATGAGTACCCGAATGACTATGAGATTATTGCATATTGTTGATTATTGATTACTTGAATAAAATCAGGGTTAGGGCTTATCCACCTTTTAAAATGCGAACTCTAGTGTTGAACTCTAGATTTATTTTATTATTGTGCTAAATCCCTCGACCATTTTTCAATGTAGAATAATGGCTCGCCAAACCCGCAATAGCAATCAGCAGCTGTTGGGTTCTATTAGGAATGTCGGCAATGTGCACATTCAAATCTATTGAGTAATAAATCCTAACGCAGCGGAATCTATAGTTAGGATTAGGACTTACGGTTCAAAATTTTTGCCGACTCTGAGACGTTTCTGATTTCCGTTGATGGAGATCGTCTGAACACCAAAGTCTAATGGGCAGCTAGACTTGGCCTTTCTCGATTCTAATCAAGTCACCAAGGTGCTCCAATCGCTCATCAAGCTCATCGGATCGTCTCGGACCTCCGGTAAGTGGATTGGACTGCTCGGGAAACATCTCGGACATGAACTGGAGCTTCTGGACCGAGATGAGCCGCTTTGGAGCACGCTGTACCAGTCTGGGATACATCTGGACTGCCTGGTAACATGCTGGGCTCGAGTTGAACGGTTCTGAGCTGTCTTGCAACTTTCTGGGCCGCGCTAAGCTGTTTGGCCGTAGAGACTCGCGCACTTGAGCCAGGGACGCCCAAATTTGGGCCACAAAAGCGTGCTGGGCTGCTACAATGCTCGCGAGCTGAAGGTGGGCTGCTCGCGGGCCACGCGGGCTGAGGTCTGTGAGGACACGCGGGCTTCACAGGCTGAGACGCGGGCTGCGCGGGCTGTACGGCCCGCGCGCTTCTCCTTCACACATGCTGGTAACAAAAAGAGGAAAATTGCTGATTGTGGGTTTCGAACCCATGACCTCGCACAGGGAATCTACGCTCAAGACCATTGTGCTACACGCGCTCTTCATTTCCTAAGCTCGCGCAGATTCTGATGTTTGAACGAGAGCCACCTGTACGCGAAAGGCGTGAACAGTACCTGGCGCGAGAATTGGACAGAAAGCTATGAAATATATTTATTTGATGGATACGAAATAACAACCTTCGATCTTCTATTGTATGACCTTTACAAGATCTCTAATAAATCTTGGTGGAGCGATTTATTAGATTTCCCAAAAACCTCTTGATCATCTTCTTCTAAGACCTTACGGTGCTAACCGAATTTTCTCTCGAAGAAGAATCTCTCTTTTTTTCTCGCTTGAAGAGGCCGAATTTCTCCATCCATTCGGGGAGAAAAACGTGTAAAGCTATGGAAAGAGGTTAGGGGACCTAGTGTATTTATAGGCTACAATAGGGACCTAAAGGAGGTGCTAAAGATGGGCCTATTCCTTAAGGTTTAAGAATCCTTATTATCTTCCATCTCCTTTTCCCATCTAGGATAATATTCCTAATAATTAATTACCTTCTAGAAGACTCCATAGTCTCCTAACCCTAGGTAATATTCTAGAAGGAATATTCTCATCCTTAAGGAATTATGGAATATAATTAATTCCTAATTCCTAATCTTGGAATTAAATAATAAAACATTCAACTAGAGTAATATTATTTCTCTCCCCATTTAGCTCCGAATTACAATTAATTCGTTTCCACTGATTAAATATATTAATCCAATTGATCGATTTATCTCCCCATGTTTAAGATGTAACGTCCGTTGATTAATTAAATTACTGACAAAATAATTAATCAACTTCTTATTCATTTCCGAAACTAGTACCACTCAGATCCTTAATCATTATGCCGGATAACACATCCGCCTGCAGGGCATGACATAATATTGCTTCCTGAGCTCATTTCGGTGACGTCATCAACCCAGCGCACTGGGACACCGTGACTGTAAATAATTTATAACGACACATGTAACACCCCGCCTTATCATGAAAATCAGAGCGCGCTTTTCGCAATTACATTCAAAATAAAACATTTTACATTGCGAAATACTGATTCGGAGTGCTACTAAAATACATAACTGACTGACAAATCTGAACTTTTGGTTTTGAAAACCAACTAACAGTTCGCCGACTGATCCATTTGGCTAAGAATGACAAACAGTAAAACATCAGCGGAAACTGTAGTGGTAGAATTTGATTGCAGTACCGTGATCGTGAAAACAAGTTATCTGAAAGTAATAATGGCACCGCTATGACAAACTCAAACTGTACAAAACATAATTTAAGATTTATAAGCATAAAGCTTAGGTAATTTAAACTTTATAAGCATAATCCCGAACTGCTCCGTCATCTCACTCCTCTGACCCGACTTCATGACCTGAAAAACATGATAAAAGTGGGTCGTGAGCACTAAAGTCCACTGTGCTCCGTGGAAACTCGTACTAAAGTAAACAGTGAAAATAATTACAATAACATGATCCTGGCATGAACATGAACATGAAACCGGTACTGAATAATCATGATCTGATACTGATGGTGAGATAATATCATCACCTGCCTGATACCTGAACATCTGCCAGCAAAAAGCTAATGCCGGACACCATGTGCACACTCTAGTGGGCAGATTAAGGACACTAGAACCCAGAATGGACCGGTGACCATTCCGAGCGGATACTGATAATACATACCTCAAACATGGTAGAATAATTATAATCAATGTAATACCCAGTCTGAGTCCCCACCTGAACTGCTGATCTGAAAATGTAAGTGCTGATATCTGTATCCTGATCAAACTGAAAAATAATATAAACAATTACTAATTACTATGCTCAGACTGATAAAATAACTGTTTTAATATGTTAAGATGCTCTTTTGGACTTGACATGATATCTGGACTTAACTGATATAACTGGAACTGGTTTAACATGAAACTGGACTTACATGAATTTACTGAACTGGACTATACTAGGAATTTAACTGAAAATGGGACTTGAACATGAACCGGGACTGAAAGTATTAAAATATAAGTAAACCGGTCCAAACTGGTCTGAACCGGTCTGGCCGGACCACCGGTCTGCTCGAACCGTTCGGTCGATGGCTGACTTGGCCAGCGGGTCTGTCAAGGCTGCGTGCGCGGTTGCTGCCTGGACTGGCTGTTGCACTAGCCGCTGGGCGTGAACGGGCGCAGACACAGCATCGCCGTGCCTCACGATCCGTGGCTAATATAACCCCGCACACTGGCGTGCTACGGAGTGCGACTGAACACAATATAAAGCGTTGCCGAGTGCTATAAGCATCGGTTGTTACGCGACTGAGCATCGTCGAGTGTTACTGCACACCACGACGTGCGTCTGAGTACTTAGACTCGCACACGAGCGTTAACTGGGCATAACTGGCATTATGCGGGTGCTGCCGTGCACTCCGCGATGCTGGATACTCGAGCAAGTTGCTGCCGAGGCCGCTGACGTGCGATGTTGCGCGCTGGCGTGCGTTTCCGCACGCTGGCGTGCCTGACTGGGCGTTGGCGTGCACATGCGCACTGCCAACTGCTACTCACAGCGGTACTGACTATACGCGGTATCTACCGCGCACCACCTGCACTACACGCACACTGCCTGTAATATCCCGATATTTTATTAGTATAAATTATGTTTTAGTTCCGATATAATAATGTTATCAATTATTATTTTTGGAAATAATTATTTTCAGTCGAGATTACCGAAAATTATTTTCGACGTATCGTTTACATTCGGAATAATTTTGGTAATTAAGCATTATGTTTAATTAAATAATTAAACATAAGTTAAGTGATTAATTAAGATTAATCACATCTTAATGACACAAAAAGCTGAAGCTTATGTTTCAATTTTTACACAAAGCCGTACGGAAGTTTGGACATGTAATGTCCCAATTTTGGAAGTCATTTTTCCTATACATGAAGGAAGCATATTTCCCCTTTTATTAAGTAACTTCACGTGGCATTAGGAGGATCATTTGAGAAGGATTAGTCATCCCCAAGGCTCCTAATTAGCTTCCAAATGTCAAGACTAAATTGAGCCACAAAGCCCCTTCATCACCCTTAACTTTCGGCCATCTCTATATATAGCATAAGAGATTGGAATTTTTCCCCACCTTCCATATTATACTATCAACAATATCATACATATTGGAGTGAGAGTTAGTAAGGGAATTGTGTTAAGGAGAACTCGCGCACGGCAATTAGCTTCCGCCCGCACCGTAAGCATCGCACGGCCTTACCTTATCATACGCAAAGTCAAGAAATCACGCCCATCTTTCGTTATCAGTCGAACATCTGGAGAGGTACTCTCATCTCCAACCCTCTTTCATGATATAAGTTCAGTTGGTGTGAGATTGTTCAGCTCATAACTTGAAATTTCATGTATATGCCATAATAAGTTCGGTTTAAGCTATTGTAGGCCATGACCGAGTAAAGTCCTTTTCTATCCGGCAACTCTCGTGCAATTCATGTTTGATTGATCAGTTTACATCATGTTATATTCAGTTACTTGAGGATGGTCGAAGTAAAATATTGTTTTAGCCCTGAATTGGCGTATAGCCGTCGACAGCGCGCCTCGCGCACGGCCACGGGCTACTTCATGTCATGTTATGTTACTTTCAGTTAGGGTCAACTTTGTCCGTGTGATTTATGTCTTGATAGCCTCAAAATAATGTTTCATGTTCAATTGGTCTTGAGTTGCCGAGGGAAAAGTGAATTGGTCGAGAGACGGCTTATAGCCGTCGGCGGCGCACGGCGCGCTCGCCACGGCCCCATTCAGTTGATTGTGTGAAAAAAATTATATTTTCAAGTGATTTCAGCGATTATGTTCATGTAGAGTCAGATTATGTTAAGTAAGGTCAGAATGCTCGGGAGTTAGTGTCGGACGGCCGGCAAGGGTCGGCCATAGGCCGCGCTGTCCGCACATAGCGGCAGCCACGCCCAGCAGTCACCCGACACCGCGGCCAGTGTGCGGGTGGTACAGGTAAGGCGCGGCAGGTACTGCGTGTGATCAGTACCCGCTGCGAGTAGCCGTTGGCAGTGCGCCTGTGCGCGCCAACGCCCAGCCAAGCGCGCCAGCATGCGGTAACGCACGCCAGCGCGCAGCGTCGCATGATGATGGCTTCGGCAGTAGCCTGCTCGAGTAGCCAGTGTTGCGGGAAGGCACAGCCCACGCCCGCAGCGTTCAGTTGCATGTCGGCACGCGCGTCCATGGCCAGCGCTGCACCGTAAGCCGTGCAGCAGCCACGCCACGCCAGTGCATGCCCACCCGTGGTCAGGTGCACACAGCACCCTCGGCCATGGCCATGGCAGGCAGGCCGCAACGGTCGTGCCCGCACCAGTTCCGTCAGCAGCCGCGGCCGCAGCCTTGGCAGGCCGTGGACTGAGTCAGCCGCTGGCCGACCGGTCCGAGCAGACCGGCGGTCCGGCCAGACCGGTTCGGACCGGTTAATACCGGTTTGACCCAAATAATGTTATTTTAATCCCGGTTCGCATTTTAAGAGCCATTTCAGTTAAATTTCCGGGAAAATTTCAGTTCAGTAAGTTCATGACCAATCAGTTCATGGCAGTTCAGTTCCGATTATTCCGGTTAAGTATACATATCAGGTCAGGTTCAGTAGAGCATCTTAACGAAATTTATCAGTTAAGTTAACAGTCTGAGCATAGTCATTAGTAATTGTTTATATTATATTTCAGTTTGATCAGGTCACGAGAGTCAGCACTGCCTTTATTTTCACGGATCAGGTGGGGACTCAGACTAAGTACTACATTGATTATAATTACGGTACCATGTTTGAGGTATGTATTTCATGTCATGTATCCGCTCGGAATGGTCGCCGGTCCATTCTGGGTTCTAGTGGCCCTAGTCTGCCCACTAGAGTGTGCACATGGTGTCCGGCATTATTTCTTGCCGGCAGATGAGGTAACGGTCAGGGTCACGTTGGCGTGACGATATCAGATTCATGTTCATGTTATTACCGGTTTCATGTTGAGGTTATGTATATGCTGATATCATGATGTTGTTATTATTTTCAATGTTTACATTAGTATGAGTTTCCACGGAGCACAGTGCCATAGTGCTCATTTCCCACTTTTATCAGGTTTTTCAGGTCAGGATATCGGGCAGGGAGCGTGAGATGACGAAGGCTTCAGGACTTTTATGTTTTGACTATATATATATTGATTTACGTTTCCGCTGATGATGGTTTTTGATGAACTTATGTTTTGACCGGACTTTTGGAAAACTTTATGCTTTCAGTAACAGTATGATTTTATTAAAAAAAAAATTAAGATAACGGTTTTTCAAATTAAGTCACGTTTTTACGGTAGCACCCCAAATCAGTTTTCGCAAAGTAAAAGATTTTATTTTTAAATAACTTTGCGAAATTTTCGCACTCTGATTTTACGATAAGGCGGGGTGTTACACTGCCGGTACGCTGTGACCACGATGTGCAGACAACGCGACTATGACCGACCCCCGACGGCCGTCCGGCAACTTCATCCGGCAACATCAACTTGTTTCCACATATTTAAACATGACATGACTATACATACTGATTTAACCTAAAAAAATCATGAACTTCACTCGATAAACTAGAATAACGTCAAAGCGTGCGCACCGTGCGCCCGTGTTCGGCGTTAAGCCAAATCCTCGAACAAACATGAACTTTTGTCGAACAACCCCAAGAAATTGATCATCATATATAATTTAAAGACTATTGAGACATGGGTTACTCGAACAATTCTGATTATATTGAAAGATAACACGGAAGGGCATGCAACGACCCGTTGACGTGCGCTACATGCGCAGTTCACATCTATAGGCCATTTCATGAACCAAACTTCAATTTGTCCCGACCTATCTTTTAAAACTGAACATATAATAACCTAAAATGCTCAAATAGACATGAATTGCTCGGTGATACTCGAATAAGATTAAACATCACTTGGATAATAGCACAAAACCGAGTATACTTAAGCATTTAATCACAAATTCTGGTACATGATTGAACCTGATGGCCCTAAACTGATCTTATTATCAAGAAAAGAGGGTAAAGAAGATGATACCTCATCAACTGCTCGGAGCATTTCACAAGAGGTGCGCGATTTCTCAGCTCCGAGTGCGTGCGGTAGTCCTGCCGTGTGCGTGTGCTTCAACCTTAAACTTAGCTTAATATATGCTGAACTTATAGTTTAAGAAATAAGCTATTTATGTAATATCCCGATATTTTATCGGTATAAATTATGTTGTTAGTTCCGATATAATAATGTTGTCGAATTATTATTTTCGGAATTAATCATTTTCAGTCGAGACTACTGAAAATTATTTTCGACGTCCCGTTTACGTTCGGAATAATTTTGGTAATTAAGTATTATGTTTAATTAATAATTAAACATATTTTAAGTGATTAATTGAGCAACTAATCACGGTTTAATGTCCAAACCGTGTCTTAGTGCAATTTTCCCCAAGTTGTCCCAATTTCCACAACAAGCCGTGAGTTAGGAAAATTTTTGTCCAAATTCAACAATAAACCGAAGCTTTCTTCATCATTTGGGAAGTCAAATTTTCCTCTCTTTTTGGCACAAAAACGTGGCATTATATGGAGGTGTTTAATCATCACTAATTCTCCCAAATAGCTAGCAAGTGTAAGTTTAAGAAAGGGCCACGATGGCTCTACATCATCACCTAAAGTGGCAGCTTCCTCGGCCTTTAATATAAATAGGGGCATTTGGACGAAATTTTTCCCCAACTTTTCCTTTTATATGTTCAGCAAATCAGTCCTAATATAGAGAGTGAGGGAGACCGAATTGTTAGCATCCAAGAAGGAAATTCCACCGCAACATCACACCGCCACCGTACGCGCAAGCTTAGCCACCGCACACGAGCACACGGCGCCGATTGCACCGCATCAAGGACCTTCCTTCGCCGGAGGTGTAGTTATCGGAGGTTGCAGAGGTAATATTAACTTACCTTTGAATCGATAAGCTAGTTCTATTGAGGCCTCGTTCATATAGTAGTGTTGAGCCGTACGGCCGTGGGCATATCCGTATGTGTATGTGTGTCAACGGGAGTAATTATATGAATCATCATGTTATTTCAGTAAACCTTTAATAATTAGACCCTATTTGGTTAAGTAAGGTGGTAACATGCTCATGATATTGGGTTTCTTGAGATATAATTATGTCAGTAGGAAGTCCGGCCGAGAGGGACGGCGCGCCCGCCACGGTCCCCATTCAGTCCATGCTGCGAAAGTTATATTTTCCACGTAATTTTGATGATCATGTTCATAATACATCAGATAATGTAAATTGAAGTCAGTTGGTCGGGAGTTAGTGCCGAACGGCCGCCAAGGGTCGGCCTTAGGCCGTGCTGTCCGCATATAGCGGCAGCAATGACCAGCCAAGCGCGCCAGCATGCGGTACCGCGCGTCAGCACGCGAAGTCGCGCGACAGCGGGCCGCATGGTGCCAGTTAAGTTGCCCCGTTGTCCGCAGCGTGTCCCAGTGCACG